CGGCGAATCGCCCTCTTTGACAGTCCAATATTCGTCTTTGTTCGACAAAAAGTGGCTGATAAATTCTTCACGATGTTGTTTGACATCGGGGCGTTCATGGCCTTCAAAGTAGGGACGTTGGCCATTCCCGGAAAATCTGGCTCCCCACCGCTTGAGATCCAAACGTACGGAGACCACTGATCGAATGAGAGGAGAGCCTGGTTCTAGGATCTAGAATTTTCACACAGCTTGAAGAAAGAAAAATAAGATTTATTCTCGCACAATACCTTTCTTAGTTTTTGTGAAGATATAGTACTCTTTGTCAATAAAGTTGGCAAGGTCCATTGCTGTGAACGCTGCCGATTTCTCAGAACAACGTTTATGAGTGTATTCGAGAGCGGCCTCTTCGAGCGTCGGATAATCGTCATAGAAGGCAGCATAATGCTTACCACCCCGCTTGTCACCCTCAAACGATTGGATCTCTTCTGCTAGAAATATTTCCGACCATTTGTGAGCGGTATTGATTGTATTACCACCTACAATAACTCAGTTTCCATTGTGTCAAAAAAATTAAACCGTTCGAAAGCTAACCTAGATTCTTCAAGAAAGTTTTGCACGTTCTCCAATCGATGCCCATACTTCGTAGACTCATGTAAACGAGAACCGACAGATACTTGACCGGACATTTGGCTCGACAAAGTTGGAATAAGTCAGCCAAATCATTTGAGGAGAGTCTGGCGTTGGAATCCAGTTGTTCATCGTCTTCATTTTCATCAACGTCCATCTTCTCCGGAAAATCATCTTCTTTCTCGACCTCATCACTTTTATTCAGAAACTTCTTTGAAGTTTCTCTTGAGTGCGCTTGTCGTAGTGTTAACTTAGGCATTTTGAAAAAGACGACTGACACTCGTTTACTGACAATCGTTTACAAGACGATTTAATAACAGCACTTTTTTCCAAATTGACATAAACTAAAGAACAAAAAATTAGAAGTAACAAAACAACGTTTATTAACGTTTCGTATTTTATGATTACACAGATGATTGTATAATAAGCGAACCTTCCTCTGTATTGGTCTCCCATGATGTCAGAGAAACAAATTCTTATTTTGCAAGTGTCTACTTTGAGCATGATCTGAATTATTTGATACGATATCCTATCCATAGTCTTATCTTTTGTATTATTGTCAACTAATGTACAAAAACCCGTCAAAATCCCCTGGAAATGCCTTGAAGATCCCCTATCCCTCTGGACGATACCACCATCGTCTTCTTCATCGTTTTTTACTCTTAGAAAAGTATTTGCACCTCAATCGCATCCAAACTAATAAAGTTCACAAGATATGACGTGGTTGTTTTAACTGAAGCACAATGAAGACCCTATAACTTTTGAAAGAAAAATTTTCTCAAAAATCAGCACGTATAACTTTGTTCAGTTTTTCATGGCGCGTCGAATGACGTCTTATTTCAAATTTTTAGAATTTCCCTTCGAGACTTGATTGGTTTGAGAGTAAAAGTTCCTGGTTCGGATTTTCGACTGTACCAAGAATCAAGTTTAAGGTTCGAAATACTCAAAAGCACATGCGTAGATACAGTTTTTGACGCTGAATCCGAATACGAAAGTCGCAGATCTATGCGACCTAACAGTGCAAAGTTATCGAGTTTTTAGTGCAAAACTACCCGTTTTGGAAAACACGACACTACTAAACTTTTTCGAGTTTTTGACGGGGAAAATTTTGTCTAAAAAATCTCGTGCCCAAATATTCGTGATCAGCGTTGAAAACTGCATCGAATGAGGTGTAAATGAGCCAAATCTAAAATCTGCTGCAATCCTGCCTTAGCGGCATCTTATATTGAAAAAAAATTTGCGCGGAGATTGACCGTTGACATAAAAATTGGTTTTGAGAAAAACGCTGTAGAAGTTTTTTTTCTTCAATACCGTTTGAAATCGACCTGAAAACGCAAGATTCAATCATATTTTTATATATTTGTAAAGTAAATATGCCAAGCGACATGCCCCTATATTTATCTCAAAAATTGACTTTTTTGAGGGGGTGAGGCCTTAATCAACGTCTAATCAGCTCCAAAATTTTTTTCAAAAACTTTTCTGTGAGATAATTAATTGTTACGTGATATACTTTATAGTATATACACTATATTGCTTGGGATAATTCATCAATTCAGTCATTATCGTAGCAGAATGGACGACGTGGTAATGAGTCATCTGATATAGTCTATATGTGTACACTATATCGTACACTGGTTTGCCGTATACTCGCTATCAGTGGCGTGAACATAACATTGTATACAACGTAACTTCTGCCTTAAAGAATTCTGGATAATTCAGGAGGAGTAGACAGTTACGAAAACATCGTTTGTATCTACTTCAAAATGATGGCTGTGGTCGTATGTCAGACTAGTAGCTAAATTCAAGCTATATTATTCTCTTTTCTCTAAAAACCGTTTCACTCGGTCGGGTTTCCAGTCTGTCCGTAGGGTGGTTGGCATCTAGTTTTTCTTGTTATTTTTCTTCAGTAGAAGTTGAAGAAGAGAAATATGATAGAACATGTGAGTAGAGAAACAACAATACATACATATATAGTATATAGCGGACACTTATAACAGGAAGCTCATTAAGCTCGTTTTATTTTGTTTATCACATTTATTCATCACAGAGGCACAGGTCTATAATGGACGATAGTAATTTCCGCTCTCAGTTCCAGCGATACTCAACCCAAACGTATCCTAACCTAATAGGAGGGTTAAGATAAGCTAGAGGAAAACTCTGGAAGAGAGCGCTACGATGTTTGTAATATCTCAAAAAATTACGCTAATTGTAGTGATCTTCCTCCAGCGTTTTCCTCTAGCTTAACTTATTCCCTTGACTTTAGTCTAGAGTCTCCGTGCCAAAAAAGTCTTCTAAGTGGTAGTAAAAGTTCAAGTTAAAAAAGTTCTTAAATCGAAAAAGTTCAACCAAAAGAGATAAAATTTCAGGTCAATGGTTATAACTTTCTATTGTTAATCAACAAAATTAACAAATAACAAAATTCAACTTAGCGTTCTAGAACTACCATGATGTAGTGCGTTAGAAATCTTCATCTTAACAAATATCATCTCTACGTGTTCTTCTTTTGTTTCTACTTTATAACCTATATTATTTTATCTTGTCACTCACTACAAACTGATACTAGTCATTCATCCACATACACTAGCCTATCGTTCAAAGTGTTGACTAGCGCTCATATGTCTTCTCTCTCTTCCATTCTTACTATTCATACTTATTTTCTTCTCTCTGATGTTTAAGCGTTTTACGATTATGATTCTTGAGAATGAAAGTTATATTTTTGAAACGTAGAAAATTAAATGATTTTTAACTAAATAAAATTAAAATGAATTTGAAAATTGCTGTTGTTACTCTCACATTTAGACTAAGTTTTTTTTTCTTCAAAAAAATATGATATCCTTCTTGAGACATTCAAAAAATACTGAAAACCCTTTGTAAAAACTCGGTTTTTGATTTTAAAAATCTTCGCACGATGAAAGTTAAAATTGAAAACGTTTAAAAATATTTAAAACCTGAGATAGGACCTGAAATATTTGTAGTAAAAATTTGGGATCAATCGGACCGTTTTTCGAAGGGTCATAATACTATACTGGAACCACCGGTGTTTTTCACACTACAGGTGACATTCAACCGGTCACTTTTTTCGTTCTCATATCTCCGCCAAAAATCATTACAAAATGTTGGAAGTGATCTCTTTGTAGAGCGAACACTTTGCTCTACCAGGCTAAGCGTAAGAAAAGATTTTGTAGGCTCTGGAAACAAAAATATTAATAAAACTACAAAAATTGACGTTTTACAGGCTCTTGACCAAAACCGTAAAAAATGCATAACTAAACAGATTTTGAAACGCTGACAATGGTTTTATTTTGTAGCACAAACTCTCCTCTGCATTAGCCTACGTTCAACTTAAACTGACAACTTGTGTCAAAAAAGAGGAGGGGACATGAATAATGGTCAAAAGTCGATACTTTTTCCGCGAACCATAGGCTTGATTTGAAAAGCTATTCTATCGTACTGAAGCTGGAAAAAAGTATTTACTCAATTCATTTAGCTTTAGTGCGTTAAAAAAGATTACTTCTTAACATGTTCAATCAGTTCGTCTGATTTGATAATGGCAATAATCTCGGAGTTCACTATAATGATGGTCAAAGTGAAGCCACACAAAATAACATCCCTCTTAGCCAAAAGAACTTAAAAGCACTTCAAATGTACCTGTTTTATTCCGTTCAATGTTGCAAACACTCATCTCGACGACTAAGGAACTTTCTTTATTTTATTTTCTTACAGAACACAATACAGAAGAAGAAAATAAAACGAAATAGTACAGCGAAAAAAAAGCACTTGATTTGACAAAAATAAATGTAGAAACATAGATACACACATAGAGAAAACACATTGTTTCTTTTTCACTTATATATCTTAAGAACAGGATTATCCCCTTATACGACAAAGAAAAAAACAGATGTAACAATCAAACAACCACAAAAAAAGAAGAAAGTAAAGAGAAAAGAATAAACACATATATAGACAAACAATATATTTCAAAAACTATAAATCATTACACTCAACACAAAACCATGAAACGAAACGCATAATGCTTCTATAATTAGCCAATAATAAAAAAACATCGACAGAAATTTCAGTTACTTACCTGCAAAAGCTATTAAATAACGTTTTACGGCGGCCAATGCACCTTCCGTACGCCTGTCTAAAAATAGAAAAGCAAGGGTAAGAAATCGAAGGCAACGGAGTATAATCAGATTAGTAAAAAAAGACCGAATATTCTCCACTATTACTTCTGCCAACAGTATCCGACTGTCAGCTAATTCGTTCAGCTACGAGCTCTTTATTCTTTAGATCAGAATCATCCAATAGCCGATCCCCATTCTTTTCTTAATATTTCCTGTTTTAAAACTTTCTTTTAACTTTTGGCTACATACTTTGAATTAATTCCACCTGTCTGATCGCCAATTCCTCTGTTGTCTGTTTGGGTTCCTCTGCTCTCTGTCTGGCAGACTGTGTTCTTGTTTTTTCCCGTTGTAACAATAACTGCAACCTTACAATATCCCGACATCCGCCACTTCATGCACCCTTTCCTCCACCATTTCATCCGCCATTATTATCTGGAATGGAAAATAAAAAGTAACAATGAAATAATATGTAGAATTTAAAGAGATAAAACGAATTAGACTACTACAGGTGGTTTCGTTTCAAAAACAGTCAAACCCAGTGGACGAATGGAGAGAAAATCAAGTAGAGAAGTCAACAACAGCATTTGAATTTAGTTAATACTTGATTCACTTTAACAACGGTTATTCTACTTTTCTTATTCTAAGAATGCTTTGTTTTTGTTTACTATGTACAAATAAGAAAAAGAGAATGCATGAAATAGTGGGTGTGTTTGTTTTCACCAAGCTTTTGTGAGTTTAATATAACGGATGAAACAAATAGTAACCATCATTCAAGTAACTATAAACTCAAATGTTGCTATTTTGAGCAAACTATGATGAAACCTCGCATCGACCTGTATCAATGATATGCTGAAAGAACGGGAAAGCACTCAACATTCGCCAGAACTTTCTCAGTTTATACCACCACCCCATGCAGGGTGCGTAAAAATGTT